GTGGCTCCTTTAATTTCTAGTTGTTGGGCTTCCATTCAGCCAGATTCCAGGTGCTCCTGAATGATGGTCATTCTGTAGTTTAGTTGTAATTTGGATGTGATTGTGGGAGGAGGGAAGTATCATTTACCTACACCATCATCTTGCCCAGAAGTCTCAAAAACCCCTGGCTGGTGTGGCTCAGTGGATCAAGTGCCAGCCTGTGAACTAAAGAGTCACTGGTTCAATTCTTGGTTGGAGCTCATGCCTGGGTTGCAGGCCTGGCCCCTGGTTGGACGTATGCAGGAGGCAACCACACATTGATGTTCCTCTCCTTTATTCCTCCCTTCCCCTCTCACTAGAAATAAAAAACTAAAATCTTAAAAAGTCTCAAAAACATGTATTTTTTTCGCCTTACATTGTAAGCTCCCCAAGCACAAAACACCACTCCACCCCCTCCTCTGCAACTTCTTCTAGTACTTAGGGTTTATTAAATATATGATATCTTGAAGAAAAGAGTACTTTTACTGACCAAATAACCTTTCCCCCTCCACTGAGCAATATACAGATATGGAATTCATTATTCTAAGAGTTCTCACTGGCAGGGAAAAAAACCTAAATGTATTTAAAAGTCTTAGAGAAAACACACCAGAGACTGTTTCTGAGACACATTCTTGAAAGAAACAGAGAAGAAGGGAGGAAGGGAAAGAGAGAGAGAATCATTAGTCTTGATCTACAGGGTGAGACCGCCATGTATAGGGAGTTTTTACATGAACCCACTGATGGGGTGGGCAACTTTCTTATAGCTCTGTTCCCATGACATTGAACAGTGTCTGGCTCATCTGTTAATGCATTCACTCAACTTACATTTATGCATGTACCCAAGCTAACTAGAGTCTCTGGAGTTGCTTTTCTAGTAAGGGTAACAAATTTGGCCAATAACCCTTACCTCTGGACCCAGACCTGAGACCATAGGCGCCTACTGGGGTTGGGCTGCTGCCTGTGGCCTTGATCCACTAAGGAAATGACCAAGACATCACCAACTCCCTGCTCTAATTCACCAGCACAAACACCACCTAGAATGTCATTCTGAAGACCTAACACTCTTGGCTGACCTACCATGAAAGGGAGGCACCGGCAACTGCCATGGTGACTTCATGACAAATGACCTTCCCTCCTTCCTGCTCCAGTAACTAGGTTCTTTGATTTAAAAAAAATTAGGCAGTGAAATTAGAAAGTGCACAGTACTTTTGTTACAACTATGCTTTCTCATCTAGGTATAGATACCAGGAAGTGACTTTGAAATTGTTTATGAAAATCTAAGGAGAACATATTTTTTATAACACGTGTACTTCTACGGTAAGCATTTTAAGTCCTTGTTGTCTGAGAGAAAATGCCAAGCTGTAGTTATAGGACTAGAGTTTATTGTCAGGTTAATTAAACTCTAACAATAAGAGAGAAGATATTTTTGAAGGGGAATGTTGCCTCTTCCTGCTCTATCTTCTGTGTCTTTTAACTTCTCTTTAATTTTCCTCATTTTAACTTTCTGCACTGCATTCTAGGTAACATTTTGTAACCTGCCTTCTGGTTTATCAATAATGTTTTTCAGTTGTGGCTCTTCCACTTTTTAAGTGATTTGGGTTTTAAAGTTTAATGGCTTTGTTTTTCATTTTTAAAATCTTTCTTGTAAAATATATATCTTTTTACCTACTTTCTTATATTTTTTCACTGCATCGTTTTAATCATTGTACATATGCCTTTTTAATAATCTCAATCTGTTAATTTTATTTCTTGAAGTTCTTGGAAGTTGAAAGCTGCTCGTGCTGTTGCTGACTCTCAATTAGAACTAATAAAGCTATCAGAACTAATTTTTTTAAAGAGCAAACACAAAGGAAAGAGGCCTAGTAAAGAAAAACTGACCAGAATCACTAGCCTTCCAGTAAACCCACAGTAGCTGTTATAGTCATTCCTTATACCCAGTACATCATGTCCAGCTACCAAGAAAAAATTACAAGGTATACCAAAAGGCAAAAAACTATTTGAAGAGACAAACAAGCGTCAGAACCACGCATGGCGGGGATGTTGAGATTATCGGAACAGGAATTTAAAGCAATAATGATTCATGTGCTGAGACCTCTAATGGCAAAAGTAGAGAGCATGTGAGAGCAGTTGGGCAATGTAAGCAGAGGGAGAAAATTGACGTCAAACACCAAACCACAGACCGAGGAAGCTGAGAGAATCTCAAGCAGGACAAATGCCTACTCCCCCACAAAAACTAGATGAAACATACCAATTTCAAACTATAGCAAATTAAAAATAGAGAAAAAATTCTGAAAGAAACCAGAGGGGGGAAAAACAACCCCATCTTTAGAGGAACAAAGGTAAGAACTATATCTGACTTCTCAGAAAGCAGGCAAGCAAGAGGAGAGTAGAGTGAAATTAAAGTGTGGAGAGAAAATGAAACTCACCAATCTAGAATTCTTTACCCTGCAAAGTTATTCTTCAAAAATGAAAGAGACTTTCTCCGACAAACAAAAATTGAGGGAATTTGTTGCCAGTAGACCTTCTTTGCAAGAAATGTTCAAAGAACTTCTTTAGAGATGAGTATAATAATACAGGTTGGGAACTCAGGTCTACATAAAGGAATAATAAGTGAATGTAAAGTAAAAGGAACTTAGCAAGTTTAATCTAAAAATTGGAAGAGAAAATGTGCAACAATATTTGGAAAAAGTTAGACAGTGATGGTGACGGTAATAGTGATGGTGGTGGAGGGACTTACACAGGATTTTAAAAATACATCACTAGAACAGAATAAAGAGACCAGAAATGGGTACGTTCAAATGTGAAAATGGGGAAATGATTAAAATGACATTTTCTTTTTTAAAAAAAATTGAGTTTATTGGGGTGACATTGGTTAATAAAATTACATAGGTTTCAGGTATACGCTTCTGTAACACATCACCTGTATGTTGTATTGTGTGTTCACTGCCCAAAGCTAAGTCTCTTTCTGTCACCATTTATCCTCCTTTACCCTCGTCTACCTGCCCCACCGTCCTTTCCTTCTGGTAATCACCATGCTGTTCTCTGTGCCGATGAGGTGGTTTTTGGTTTTTGGTTTTGTTTTTTGGTGTTTTTTTTGTTGTTGTTGTTGTTTTTTTTGTTTTTGCTTAATTCACTTATGTATTACAACCCCCACCCCCCGACAGTTGTCAGCTTGTTCTCTGTATCTCTAAGTCTGTTTCTATTTTGTTTGTTTATTTTGTTCACTAGATTCTACATGTGAGTGAAATCATATGATATTTGTCTTTCTCTAACTGGCTTATTTCACTTAGCATTATACTCTCCGGGTCCCTCTATGTTGTCACAAAAGGTAAGATTTTCTTCTTTATTTATTCTTAGAGAGAGGGTAAGGGAGAGAGAAAGGGGGAGAGAAGTATCAATGTGTAGTTGACTCCCACATGCCCCCCACTGGGGACCTGGCCTGCAACCCAGGCATGTGCCCTGACTGGAAATTGAACCAGCAACCCTTTGCTTTGCAGGCCTGCGCTCAACCCCCTGAGCTACACCGGCCAGGGTGATTTTCTTCTTTTTTATGGCCAAGTAGTATTTCATTGTGTAAATGGGCCAGAGGTTTTTTTATCCACTCATCTACTGATTGGCACTTGGGCTGCTTCCAAATCTTGGCTATTGTAAATAACACTGCAGTGAACATGGGGGTGTGTATATTCCTTTGAGTTACTGTTTTGGGTTTCTCTAGTTATATTGCCAGAAGTGAAATCACTGGGTCATAAGGCAGTTCTATTTTTAATTTTTTGAGGAAATTCCATACTGTTTTCCATTGTGGCTGTACCAGTCTGCATTCCCACCAACAATGTATGAGGAATCCCTTTTCTCCACATCCACAACCAACACCAGTTGTTTGTCGATTTATTGACAATAGCCATACTGACAGGTGTGACATGATCTCTCATTGTGGTTTTAAGTTGCATTTCTCTGATGACTAGTGATGCTGGCCATCTTTTCAAAAGTCTGTTGGCCATCTGTTCCTCTTTAGAGAAATTTCTATTCAGGCCTGCTGCCCATTTTTTAATTGGATTGTTTTTTGGGGGGGTTGGTCTTGAGTTTTATGAGTTCTTTATAAATTTTGGATATTAATCCCTTATCAGATGTGTGATTAGTGAATATTTTATCCCATTTAGTAGGCTTTTTGTTTGGTTGATGATTTCCTTTGCTGTGCAAAAACTTTTTAGTTTGATGGAATCCCATTTGTTTATTTTTCTTTTGTCTCCCTTGCCCAAGAAGATATATCAGGAAAAAAAATTACTAAGAGCAATGTCGGAGAGTTTTCTGCCTAAGCTTTCTCCTAGAAGTATTATGGTTTTGGTCTTACATTTGAGTCTTTAATACACTTTGAGTTTATTCTTGTATATGGTGTAAGGTGGTCTCTTTTTTGCATGTATCTGTCTAATTTTGCCAACACCATTTATTGAATAGACTGTCTTTACCCCCACTGTATATTCTTCCTTCCTTTGTCATAAATAATTGACCATATTCATGGGTGTATTCCTAGCTCTATTTTGTTTCATTGGTCTATGTGTCTGTTTTTATGCCAGTGCCATAATGTTTTTATTACTATAGCCTTGTAGTATAATTTGATATTGTAACAGGGTGCAGTCAAGTGGGGGGGGGCGGGGCGGGGAGGCAAATGGAAATTTGTAATGGGGTCCAGAACTCGGTGTCCAGGAAATATTAGAAAAATACAAATAGGATGTCCTCACCCCCACAAGTCTGAGCTGGGGGATGGGATGCATGGAGCAGGGCCATTGAGAGTTGTTTCGAATAGCAACAGTTTTGCAGATAACCTTTAGAACAGTTGTTTAACATCTCTACAACCTTTAACTGGTTTCATAAATATGTTAAACAGCTGTGACCATGCTTTGAGCCAGGGGGAGGGGAGTGACTTCAACCCATGATATAAATGGGATGCAACTCCCCCTGGTTACAGAGCCTGGATAAGAGCTTGGAGATGAGTGGCTCCACACCACAGGGCCACACCTGCCCAGACTTACTGTGGCAGCCCAGTACAGCTGGAAAAATATGGGGATGCTGGCAGCTGTGGTTAGTTGTGGGAGGAATCGGAAATGGTGGGGCAGAGGAAGATCGGCGCTGGAATTTAAACCCAGGTGTGGCAGCCACTCGGGGTCTTTTTGGGACCATGCAGCTTGGGAAGAGAAGAACCACGGACTTCTATTTCTTTTTCTGAGGTATGGTACCACGGACTGGGCAGAGGGGGAAAAAAGGACCATGCATTTGTGGGTATTCTAAAGGACTTTGGGATCTCAATGAAGACATTAAGTCATTACTCTTAAGTTTGTATAACTCTTTAACTAAATGATCCCTTTCCTTTTCACCAATCTCTGGCATTGAGAGATGTCTTTCCCATGCGGGGGGGCAAGGTGAACCTAGTATGGGGTGGGGGACCCCCAGAGCACAAGGGTGGGTCCATTCGGTAATAGTATATCATTCATTCCTCCCCTCTCCAGTCTGTTTTGTAACAACATCAGGGACTGTGATACCTCCAACTTTGTTCATTTTCTCAAGATTGGTGTGGCTGCACAATGTCTTTTGTGGTTCTACCACCACTTTCTGTTTTAGTAAATTGGGCTGGAAACCCAGAAATTTCTGTGTTAAAAAGTTCCAAGGTGATGTTGATGCTGTTGGTTGGGAACCATATTTTGAAAACCACTTGTTCTCAGGTATTTTTTCCCTTCTTTGCATTTTTTATTTTGACAATTACATTTTTAACTCCCAAGAATGTTTTATTGTTTTCTATTTTTTCTTTTTCAATGACATTTTTTTTTGTCTAAGGAAGAAAAACCTACAATTTCAATAAGGATAACCAATAGATTTTTTTTAATACTCACCCAGCGGCATGTTTATTGATTTTAAAGAGTGGGGGAAGGGAGGGAAAGAAAGGGAGAGAAACACTGATAAGAGAGAAACATCAGTTGATTGCTGTCAGTATGTTCTCTGACCAGGGACCAAACCTGCAACGTAGGCATGTGCCCTGACCAAGGAATAGGACCCACAACCTTTCAATTTATGGGACAATGCTCCAACCAACTGAGCCACACCAACCAGGGCCTCATTAGATTTTTTAAGTTATTTTCTATTCTGAAACTATCTCTGTTCCACATTCATTGTTCTCTTTGTTTATCGTGACTGTGTATGTGTGTGTCCTGTAGGTCTTACTCAGAAATCTGGGGATCTTTGGCTATCCATCTACATCAGTGTGTGAGGATTTCTGGCTTTATATTGGTGGCTGGTATTCATGTCCTCCACCATCATGTTGATCTACTTCTTCAACAGCTCTCTCCTCCAAGTGGGAGACCTGGGCAGGATCGACTGGCCATCCTTGACTGGCAGGATTTCGTTTAGGAGCCATGCTTAGGACATATCCCCCAGGTGATAAAATGGGGGAACCTTTTCTTGGAGCCCCATCCATCCCCAGAGATCCTGTCCAATTTCTTTTATAGGGAACCCTCTGGTTCAGCCTGGGGTGCATACCCTGCTGGCCTGTCGTTCTGCCTGCTCAAGACAAGAGCAAGCCTAGGGTGGATGTGCTCTTGGACACAACCCTTTTCAGATAGACCTAGGACTCCCCTGGTTTCCCCTCCCTATTGGCTCCTGTCCTCTGTGCCTATACCTTCTTACCACAAAGGCTCCCCAGCCCACAGTGAGCAGTGGCTTTCACCTCCTCTGTGGCTGCCTCCTCTGCTCTGCTTTGTCCATCAGGATGGTTCCCTGTCATTTTCTTCCAACTCCACTAGTGGCTCCCTTTCCCATGCTTAGTGCTGTGATTTTCAGTTCCTCGTGCCATTTTTTACTAGTGTAATCAGTGTTAAAATGGGCCTCTTCCTGTCCTATTTAGTTTGACTGAGTCATGAATGTGATAGACAGATTCCAAGCAAGGCTGAGACAGACAACCACAGCATAATTTACAATGAAAATGTCCCAGGAATGTTTCATTTTAAGAATGAGGGAAGAGTGGGGAAGAAAGCATTTCAGAGAATTTCTTTGAAGAGACTCTTATTCTGAATCCCCACCCATTTACTTACTGACAGGTCATCCCCTAAAGGGCTGAGGTCACAGGAAGAAGGAGGGAGAGTAAGGAGCAGAGATAGAGAAGCTGACCAACCCTCTCACCCTCCTCTCTCCTCTCCTCATACAGCTCCACAGCAGAGTTGGGAAGCAGCTGATCTCCACCCCCTTAATCTCTGCTCTCCCCCAGGAAGCCTGTGGATCTGGGTAGCTTGCCCTTCACCTTCTCTCCTCCAAGGTGCTTTGGCTCTGGTTCTGTACCCTCCCTTTTGTCTCCCACCCTGCCTCTTCCCCCTTCCTGCTTTCACTCTTTGCCTCTCCTCTTTCTCTGCTGCCAATACTACTAACCTCACATTGGTAAATTCTCATCACTGTTTATAAAGGACTGTGACACTCCTCCCTTCCTCTTTCTTTCTGTTTATTCAACAAACAATGTGGTGGTGGATCTGAGAGGACAATCAGAACACACAGGTCAAGCTCTAAGAGAGCGCAGCATGAGGGAGGGGTCCCAAATTCAGCATGGGGCTGCCAGGAAGGCTTCCCAAGAGCTAAGTTTTGAGGAAAAGCAGAGTTGGCTAGAGGAAGGACAGCTGGGAGAAGTGTTCTGGCCCGAGAGCGCACTTGTATGCAAAGTTCTAGAGACACATGGCAGGGGTGAGCATTCGGGAAGTTACATGCTCTACCACCCAATCCCCTAGTTTTAGATCGTAACACAGTGTAAAATACATCTGTTTTGCAGATCAGGAAGCAGGCTAACATTATCCATTTCACAAGCACTTCCAGAACACTTTGCCAACAGTGCAGAGAAGCTGGCAATCAAGAGAGAAGGATTTAATTATCGCCCTGGACTGGTCATATTAATCATAGAATTCTTGAGACTGGAAGCTTTTCATTATTTAAGAGTGGTCAGAAAGCCATGGGACCTACTGGAGATTTCATCTAGGGGCAGGAATAAAGGCGTTTTCAGCTAATACTCTCTGCAGTCCCACTTGTTCAAAGTAAGGAGTGAATGAATCATAATGGGTAAGAAATACCACCGGAAAGTTTGCACTGCTCTGAGGACAGAGCACATGAAATGACCTTATTCTCACCTGTGCTGGAGCAGCATTAGGGTGGGGGGTGGGGGGACCTGTGAGGATTTGTCATGAAGCTGGGCCCACATAGCAGGCATTCTGTTCTTCCTTTGACTGATCTCAAAGGTCCACAAAAAGAATAGCCAAGTATTCTAAAGGTGTTTTGAGTCATACCTTAGATAAGATGAAAACACCTTTATTGTCACATGATTATTCTTATTTGGAGTGGATTCAGAGGGTTCATGGAGGTGACAAGCTTGAAGCCTTATACCTACATTCTTTCCAAGAAGGGTCCAAGACTTTTCCATCACCACTGAGGTTCAAGGCTACTACCACCACCAACCACCCACTCTCAATGACCTCCACACCTTTAACAGTCCCTCTCCCCCACCATCTTTGTCATTGTGGAAAGCAAGTGGCCTCATCAGTTTGATTAAATATAGCTTTAAATCCTCATTTTAGAATCTCTCTCTCTCTCTCTCTCTCTCTCTCTCTCTCTCTCTCTCTGTGTGTGTGTGTGTGTGTGTGTGTGTGTGTGTGTGTGTGTGTACACACACACATGCCCCTCAGAGAGCTAGTCTTTCCCCTAGTTAGTCAAGCACTGCCCAAGGCAACAGAAGGCAGTGGCTCTGACCTAATAGTCACATGGCCTGGACCTCTGGCAGGCTAAAGGTAGCATCTTAAAAGGAATGACTCTGGCTACTTTCCCATGAGGCCAGACAGAGGAACGCTGGAGCAGATCCCAGAACTGTCCTCAAGACCTGAAGAAATGGTTCATTACTATACAAGGACTAAGAAGATTTATATACTTTCCCTCTCACCTTCTAAGTTCTTCTGGATGGGCTAACAATCAAATGAACAAGAACCAGATAAACAGGAGAAAATCCATTGTTAATACATGTACATGGGAATGCACATAAAAATGAAAACTCCAAAGACAGGCAACATTAGGTATATAGACATTTCTGGACAAAAGAGAAAGGTGGGGAACAGGTTATTACATTTCAGGAGTGAGAATGAAAAAACGACAGGTAGTGGAAGAAGAGCTGAACGTACACGAAAGGAGTTTTCTCGCTAGGCAGCTCGGAAAACACGGGACCCAGAGTATCTAGCGAACAGACCCCTGTCTGAAATCCTCTATTGACCAAACTTCACTCACATTAGGCTAAGGCGACATCCTAAGATCTTCCTGAAGCAGGTTTCTCTGTCCAAATCTCTTGGGCAGGAAAGGAGGGAGGGTCAAAGGTATTGTGTTTTTTTTTTTCTGAGTCTTTTGTGTCTTAATAGACAGCTTAAAATCAATAATATCCCTCAAAAGAGCAGCTTCAAGGTGGCAAGACTTTGGTTCTCTTCATTACCTTTACCTTACCTCGGACCAGTCAATTCCCAGCATGACCTTGAACCCCTAACCTATGGTGCCTTGTGACTTTGCCCTATATAATCCGCAACCTACATGCCATCAGGGTGTTTGGGCTTCTGAGCATTAGCATCCTGTTCTTCTGGGTGGTGGCATTCATCAATAAAATAGCCAATATTTCTTCACCACCGTTCTCGGTGTTTAAGTGTTTGGCTCTGCTGGCACCATGTGGATGAACTCTTTTTGTCCTATGACATCATCAACATTGTACACCAACACTATTAACCATTATCATTTTTGCCCACCCCCATCCTCAGGACCATTAGCACCATCGTCATCACCACCATCACCGTGGTCACTACCATCCATCGAGTGCGCATTGCACCCTGTGCTGTGGGAAGCCCTCAGCCCTGCTCTCCTGCCTGTTCTAGAATTGTCTGTGTCCTGTTAGTCCACGACCCTGTCAGGAAGCCCACGTTTGTTCCTTGTTTCCCAAAGTGGGAAACCTCCATCAGTCTGTTTATGTCTCCCCTGCCCCCTTTTGGTACAGATAAGAATATTCCAAATGTGTGGAATAAAATTGGATTTGCATTGGGTTAAAATGCAAAACACCTGGTTCGACTGATTCCTTTATGAACTTCTTTTAAAAAAATTAAAAATATGTTTATTGATTTTAGAGAGAGCAGAAGGGAGAGAGAGACAGAGAGAAACATTGATTTAAGAGAAAAACCTC